CAAAATCCACAGAAAACACAAAGGTTTTTCCTCTTGGCTGGGACCACAGGCCCCTGGTTAACCCGAGGCGTGGGGTGCAGCTGGCCGGTCACAGTGTGGACCCGCCAGCCAGGTGCCCGCAGAGGGAACACGCGGGGGCGGCTGCACCTTGTGTCCGTAGCTCACAAAGCCGTGGCCGCCATGTGGGAGCCTAACAACCACCTGCAGCTGGGCCGGGGCCAGGCCCACCTCCCCGGGGGCCCCCAGTGCAGCCGGGTGGACGGGAGCAGGCCTGGTCAGGCACTGGCAGGGACAGGAGGCCAGGGGCCCCTTTTCCTCCTGTCTGGACGATTGTTTTCTCCTGACAGGAGTTCTTTTTCTTCCGCCGTTCCCCCCTTCCTGAGACCTGGAGGCCTTCTTTATGCACAGATATGTTGTTTTCAAACACTCTGCATTGTTCTGAGATTTCAAAGTCATGGCCAGCTGCCAAAGACAACATATTTTTGTGGCTGTAACAGTAAAACCTGGTCACTACAGTATACTTACAAAATCAGAAAAGCACATAAGGAGAAAAATTTTAAGCCATAGCACTGTGTAGAGATGAGGACGGTGTTTTTGTTTTGTTTTGATCCTCACCCAAGGACATTGCTGCATTTATCTTCAGATAGAGCGGGAGAGAGAGAGACACATCGACTGGCTGCCACCCACACGACCCCAACTGAGGCCTGGGATGAATGGCAACCAAGGTACGCGTCCTTAGCGGTCACTGAACCCGGGACTCTCTGGTCCACGGGCCGAAACTCTAACCGCTGAGCCAAACCGGCCAGGGCGAGGACTGTGTTTTGACCTATTTCTTCCCAGCTCAAAAAAATGCACACATTTACACAGAATCTGTGTGCAGTTCTGAGACCTGGTTTCTCCCTAACTCTGGGTCCTGAGGGTTTCCCTGGTGCCCTGACACCCTCCGTGGCTGTGTCTGTCCCATAACGAGAAGCCCCCGCCCACCCAGGCCGTCTGTGCACCGGAAGTTCCTGACCTCCTCGGACCTGCCCCTCCCTGGCCTGGCTCAGGACCTCAGGGCCCTCTCCCAGGGGAAGGTGAAGTCTGAGAATCACGGCTCATCTTGCCTCCCCCACACAGGCTGTGCTCCTGACCCCCATGTGAATCAGTTCGACCCCAGAAATGGCCAGAAGAGCCCTCACCTGGACAGAAACTTCCAGGCTGCCTCCCCCCAACCACACGCCCTGAACCAGAGGTCCCAGCAGAGTTCTGACCCCAGCACCAGGGTCACCATGTGACTGGGATCACTCACGGCCACAGAGCCGGACAGGGCCGGAGGGAGTGGACGGGAGAGAAAGCGTCCCACCTGGGGCCAGGGGCCTGGAGAATCAAGGAGAACGTGAACTCCGGTGGCAGAGTGGCCCCTCCCTTGCCGGGTCGGCACGAGACTCCGTGGCCTGGGCCCCCCACGAGCAGGGCTGTGGTGGAGGGACCTCGGGAGTTCCCCAGCTTCTGGAGCTCGGAAGGCTCACCAGGCCCCCTCAGGCGTCTTTTCTTCCCCACCAGCCCGTAGAGGACCTGCTACCTGATACCTGCGGCTCTGCCCACGCCTCACCTGCACTGAGGCGGCCTCCATGCTGCAGCCCCGCCCCCCGCCGGGACCTGCTGCCGGCCCCTCAGGAGGAGCTGGGCGCCACCCTGCCCACCACGCCAGCCTCCGACCTGGCGGCCCTGCTGGAGGCGGTGGGAAGACTTCCTTCCTTCCCCACCTTGTCTTCCCTCGGCCGTCACCAGACTCAAGGGGTCTGCTAACCTGTGGGCCACAAAGCCCAATCAAGCAAGTACAGGAGTTTGCAGCCAGGTGAGTAAAGGTGCCACACCCACCCGAGTAACAGGTGAGATTGTTCGCAGGACCCTGGTTCCCCATGGCTTCCGGGGGAGGGGTCATATGGGGGGAAATCATTAGTCATGACGACTAAGGGCATTGGGGTCATGGGCAGGGTCATGGTCTCTAAGGACTGGCCGGAGCCAGGGTCCTTGGTCAGTGGGTCAGATCCTGCTATCAGCTCCGTCTGGAGTTGCTCTGTCTGGTTTCTCCAGGATGTGGTGGGTGGGGGCCTGGGGCTGAAACAAAACTCAGGCCTAGATGTGATCTCTAATGTGACTGAAACTCTGTGGTCATCAGACCCCAGGCTTGGTTTCTAAGATTACTTGGTGCAAACCAGGGCCTCATTGTCCTGAGGGCTTACTGATTAAGGGAGCAGACATGCAAGGGAGAGGGAGGTGGGGGAGTCAGGGTGCTAGACGAGTCCAGTTTGAACCGAAAAGAAAGGAAGTCCTGACGGATGGGGCTGCCTCTGGCTGTTCCCTCCCTGCAGCAGGCTGCCCCGCCCACGCTGGCTGGGCCGCTCTCCTCGGGCTTTGCTTCTGGGCCCTGACGGTTCTGTTTCTAGCATATTCTTTTCGAATGACTGCTGCGGACTGGATTGTGTCCCCAAAATTCATAGGTTAAACCCCAATGCGATGGTATTTGGAGATGGAGCCACTGCGGTGTAACTAAGGTTAGACAAGATCATGAGGATGGGGTCCCTATGATGTTAGTGCCCTTAAGAAGAGACACCAGGAAGCTGTCCCTCCTCATGGGGGGGGGGCAGCAGTCCCTGGGGGCCGCACCTTCCTCCAGTCCCTCCCCAGCCCCACTTCTGCACAATTTTAGGGCCCTCCAGGCTCACCCTGGGCAGTGCAGACAGGATCTGGGCGCCTGCTGGACATGCTCACATGCCCTGGATTCCAGGCCTTTCCAGGAAGACATGCTGCTGTCTCTCCATTTGGGGGGATGTGAGCAGTCACCTGGGCCTCCTCCCGGAAACAACGGAGCCTCGAGTCCAACTCTGACATCACAGGACAGGTCTGAGAGGTGAACCAGTACGGCAAGGGGGACGAGGGTTTGGGGGGGTGGGGGTCTATTTGCAAAGTTCCATCTGGGGCCCTCCACAGGACAGGTGGGGGATTTCTTCAGCACCTAAATGGCAAGAGGAAAAAGAGACAAGCCAACCAAGGATAACGCAGAGACCTTATTGGAATTGATTTGAACTGTGTGCAGTCATGTATACGAATCACAAGTCTGTGTACACGCACATATGTATGAAAGTGCAATACTGACTCCATCTTGGATATGGAAGGACTGTTGTTAATTTAAATTAAAAAAAATATGTACAGTGAAATTGTGTTTTTTAGTGTTCAGTTCTACGGTAAATGTACAGATAGCTTTGTGGGACCCCCACCACCATCAGGATGCAGAGCAGCTCTGTCACCCCAGAAATCCCCTCACACCACTCCGCTGTAGGTGCAGGCTGCTCCCCAGCCCCGGGAAGCCACTGTCTGTCCTCCCTCGCAGCTGTTGTCCTCTTGACAATGCCTCCTCTGGAATTGCGGACTGGCCTCCTTCTCTTACACATCTCTCAGGTACCCCAAGTAGCTGCATCAGCGGGGGATCCCAGGCACGGAATTTCAGGCCACCCATTCCTGGCTGAAGCACCGAGGAGGTCCCTAGCTTGGGGCTCTGATCATAGACATCCTTTGGACACTTATGTACATACAGGCTTTTTTGTGAAGACCAGTTTTCTTTTCAACGGGGTGAATGCCCAGGAATGGGAATGTAGTCAGCTTGGCTTTTTTGTTGTTGTTCATCTTTACTTGAGGATATTTTTTTCCATTAATTTTTTTAGAGGTGTGGGGGAGAGAGAGAGAAACATCCATATGAAAGAGACACATTGATTGTGGCTGCCTCCCGCACTCCCCGATCAGGGCTGGGGATCAAACCTGCAACCCACGTTCGTGCCCTTGACTGGGAATCGAACCCGTGGCCCTTCGGAGGGTGGGCCACGCGGCCAGGGCTACTGCCTATCCCTCGAACGGGACTGTTGTTGACACCTTATACGAGGGGAATCGTACAGCATTTCCCCCGTGACTGGCTTACTTCTCTTAGCACAATGGTTTACGGTTATTCGCAGCAGGTGTCAGAACTTAATTCCTCAAAATTAAAAAAATGTTTTATTGATTTTTTATTTTTAGAGGGCGGGAGAGAAAGCAACACGGACGAGAGAGGCAGACAGACAGACGGACAGAGACTCCGGGCTGCCTCCTGCACGCCCCCGGGACGAACCGAAATCTGGGTCTGCGCCCGGCGGACCGAACCGCCCCCTTTCGGTGCACAGGAGGGCGCTCCAACCAAGCGAGCCGCCGGCCGGGGCTGAACCCAACTCCGGCGCTGCCGGTTCCCGTAGAGCGTGGCCGGAGGCACCACACCTGCCCCCGCCCTGCCCGCGGCGCAGTCCGGCCCGCTGGGCCGCCCCCGTCCTCGGAACTCCTCGCTTTGCAAAGCTGACCCTCTGTCGGCATTAGACCCCCGCCCCCGCCGTCCACTCGCTGTCCCTGTGCACCCGACTCCTCCGGGGACCACCGACCGGTGGAGTCACAGCGCGTCTGTCCTTCTGTCCGGCTGGCTGCGACGCGCGTCCGCCCTCCCGGTCCCGTCCGGCGGCAGGTGTCAGGCTGCGCTCCCTGTTCAGGCTGCGGCCTCCTGGGCTGTGTGGACGCGGCCGGCTCGTGGGTCCCTGCCTCCCTGCACCCGGGCCCACGGCCTCCACGGTGCGCGGGGTGCAGAGAACCGGCCGGCGCGCGGGGGCAGGACGGAGCACGAGGACCGAGGGAGGCGAGCGGGAGGGGCGGAGGGCGGCCCCACCTCCAGCCCCGCCCCGCCCCGCGGCCTGCCGGGATACGTAGTCCAGAGCCTCTCAGGAAGCCGGACTCGGAGTCCCAGCGGGCCCCGCGGCGCGCCTGCGCGCACGGCCCCGCCCCGCCCCGTGGCCTGCCGGGACTTGGAGTCCAGCGCCGGCAGCCACCCCGGCGCGGGCCGAGCGGCGGGACTCGGTGTCCCAGAGAGCCCCGCGCTGGGCCACGGCGCCGCGCTCCGCCCTCGCCGTCGCCGCCGCCGCCGGCCTTTCTCCGGCCGTCGCCGCCACTGCCGCTGCTTCGCGGGTTGGAGGGCCCGGGTCCCGGGGCGAGCGGAGGCTGCGGGTGGGAGCCTGCGCGGGCACTGCGGAGCGGGCCGGGGGAGGCCGGGATGGAGCCCCCCGGAGGTGGGCGCGCTGCCGGGCGAGCTCGCGCCTGCGGCGGTTGGGGAGGGGGCGAGCGGAGGGGGCGGTGGGGCGGGAGGCGGCGGGGGCGGGGCCGGGGGCGCGGGCCTGCGGGCAGCGCCCGGCCGGGCCGAGGTGGGAGGGGCCTCGGGGCTGCCCGCCGTCGGCGCTGCCCTCGGGGGCCGTCGGGTGCGGGCGGGCTGCCGTCGGGCTGGTCCCGGGGTCCCCGCCCCTCCCCCAGCCTGTTCCCAGACGGTCGCGGAAGGGGCGGCTGCCCGGCCCGGGAGCCCGTGCGCCCCGAGCGGGCACCGAGCTGGCCTGCTCTCCCCGCAGTGGACTGAAGCGAGCGAGCCGGGCTCCAGAGCCTCGGGCGGCATCCGGGGCCTCCCGGGGCTGCGGCGGATGGTCTGAGGGCGGCGCAGACATGGCTCACCTCCGGGGATTTGCCAGCCAGGTGAGGGTGGCTTCCGGGCGGTGGGCGCGCGCGCTGGGCCCGGACGGGACGGCAGCACTGACCGCAGAGACATCTCCCGCTCCAAGAAGTGTGTCTCCTACGTCGTCCTAGGCTTCAGAGGACCGCCCCCCCGGGTGTGTGGGGTGCAAGGAGGAGCCTTCCAGGAGACTCTTGGGGTGCACGCGTGTGGGCGGAGTGGGGGCGACCCTCAGGGGCTGCACTGGCCGGACTCTGGGCCGACTCAGGGAGCCCGGTTCGAGGTCAGCGGCAGGTTGCAGAGACCTGGCTCAGGAACAGGGCGGGGCAGGACGGAACCTGGATCTGCAGGGCAGCGAAGGTCAAGGTCGGAGTCCACACCTGCGCTCTGGAGGCTGGGCCTGGGCTTTATCGGCCGGGGTGGGGGTTCTGGGGGGCCCTCCCTGAGGGGCAGTGAGAGCGGCCGGGACTGATGGAGCAGAGGACACCTGTGTGAGCGCTTCCGTTGGGGGGAGGTGAAGACTAGTCTGCAGAACCTGATTTTCCCAGGCCAAGGGTGCCGACCTGGACATGCCCGGTGTCGCTGTCTTTCTTCTTGGGTTGATTGGTTCTTGTACTTTGCAGCTCAGCTGATTGGTGGACCCTCTGTAGTTTACCTGAAATGAGGACCTGTTGCTGGTGCCAGAAAGGGAGGTGCACGTGGGGGCCTGTGGCCTGTACCTCCCCGTTCTGTTATTTCAAAGCAAGTGTGGTGTGACGGTGATTTGAAGTGGAGTAAACCACCTGGTGGCAGGTGTCCCTGCACCCTCCATGTTTGCTGGTGTTCCCCTTGACATGCCGGCTTCGCAGACTTAGGCCGACTGCTGCAGTGTTGGGAGGCCCTCTGAGAGAGAGTCGTCTTCCGGCTCGCACCGTGTTCGGGTCAGCGGGGATGCGTGCGGAAGGCTTGCGTCCGTGTATGGCCAGGAGGAGCGGGAGCCAGGGAGGCCAGGCACAGCTGTTGGGCAGGGCATCTGGAACCAGCTGTGATCACAAATGCGAACCGGGCTTGCTGACTGATGGTGAATTATGCTTCCAGACTTTTCATTCATGTCTGACATTGGGAGTCTGATAAACTCATGACTAAGATGCTGGGAGAAAAGTCTGTCTCCAGCTTAGTTTTAAGAACTGTAGGAATGCCTTTTCTGGGTCCTGGAGTGAGAGATTGGAGCTGTGAGCTGCCCTGTACCTGTGTGCTGATGGTGCTTGGTGCTCTGCCTGGGGCCCAGTGAGACCTGGGTGGGAGCACGGGTGCGGAGGAGCTGGGGAAGAGACCCCAAAGAAAGGAAGCCCCCTTTGTCCTTCCAGGGGCGGAGAGACTCAGCCTTTGTCAGCGGCAGGAAGCCTGATAAGACAGTGCTTTCTCTTGAGAAGGCTGTCACTGGCCCTTTGGGGAGGTTCCCCACAGCCTGTGCTGCCCTGCCTCTTCCACTCACCTCGGGGCCACCCTGCCTGCAGGGCCCGAGTGGCTGCGGGTGTTCACTGGGGACAGCTCGGCTCCTCTTATTTTGTGGGGTGACTAACGGCAGACGCATTGCGCATGGTGTGCCCAGCTCTGACAGTGCCAGCGCTGCTTTGGAGAATGGAGGTCATGACCACCTGAGCCAGCTGAGTGAGCTGAGTGATTGTCAGACCATGAGCATCACCAGACTGGGGAGCTGCTGCCCTTCTTTCTCCGTGGGGCGGGAAAGGGCTGTCCCTGTCACACCCTGTCTGCTCAGCTGACTGGGCTGCAGAAGTGGGGACCCAAAGCATGTGAGAGTTGAGGGTTGGGGTTCCCCTTCCATGTCAAGCGTGGACTCTGGCTTAGGGGTGCTCTGTTCTGCTCACGGCGGTGCGGTCTGCGCGTGCTGCGTTGGTTTTCCTTGGGTGGCTGTGGTGGGCCAGACTCGGCCCAGCGCTGTGTGCAGAGCAGTGAGTGCTTCTCAGCAGCGCGAGCGGGGGATGGTCGTCAGCAGAGGCTGGAGTGCTGGTGGGGCCCTGAGAGCTAGAAGGGCAGTGCTGACCAGGTGCTGCCAGGCCCGGGCCCAAGTCCTCGGGTCTCAGGCCCCCTTAGCAGGAGCGGGCCTGTCCTTGCAGCGACAGAACAGTCACGGCCCCAGCTGCACTGGAGTCTCTGCACAGCTGGTGTCTTGCAGGGCCGCCCCCACTCGAGCTGGCACAGGGGGCAGGCCTGCCGGCCACCATTGGGCACTGTGGAGCACTGTTTGGGTCAGTGGGGGGCGGGCAGAAGGGCCCTTTCCAGAGCACATCCCACACGGGGCCAGAGCTGAGCAGGGAGCAGCAAGGTCTCCCACCCAGGTCCCCGCCAGGCTGGAGCCAGCTCTCTCTCCAGCCGGAAGGTGTGTCGTGCCGATTGCTGCGTGGTCAGCAGTGTGGGCCATTCATTGATGAGAGGCTGTTCTCTGGGCTGGGATTGGGTCTAATCTCGTGACCCACGTCCCCACCGGCCATCCCCACCCTGAAGAGGGCTGAGCAGATGTGATGTGAAGCCACGCCAGTCAGAACACGCGGAGGAGACGAGGCTGGGCAGCCTGCCCTGAGGGACCTGGGCTGTGCTCGCTTTTCCCGACCTGCCCCCCCTTAGCTTTGGGGCTTCCGGCAGCAGCTGGGCGCACTCATCTGAGGTTGCCCTTTCCTCCACGTGCACTGGGCTGTCAGTTCCCATGCGCGAGTGAGAAGGGCCACATTCCTTACCAGGGAGCCAGGGGACAACTCAGCCTGCTGGGGCACCTGCCTGTGGCCACAGCCCCTGGCCTTGCCCAGCCTGCTTTGTTGGGGAGGGTTCTGTGTTGAGATTCTGCTTCTGGCCCCTGGCCGTGGCAGTGCCTGCTGCCTCAAACAAGACACCCAGGGCTGCCGCCGGCAGCCCTCACTCTCTGGCATACCCGGTGCCCAGAATCATCTGCGTGTGTTCACAGGTATGTGGCTTTGTGTCCCCTTCCTCCCTCCTGGTCAGGATCCCCAGGAAGGCAGGTCACCGTCAGCTTCTGATTGACATGTGGTCTCTGCTTGGAGCAGGCTGGGCCGGGCTGGGGCTCTGCCTGGATCTGAGCGCGGGGTGAGCGTGGGCTCCGAGGGGAGCACTTCCTCCCCGGGCCTGCGCCTCAGCACCCAGGCAACAGGTGTGATCTTTGTCGCTACATTGGCCCTGGTATAGGTGCTTGGGTGGGGTGAGGTGGTCTTGTTGGAGGGAGGTGTGTCCTGGGGGACTTGAGGCCTATGGGCCTTGGAAACCTTTCTGCCTCTGTCCAGACAAGATGCTCGACTTCCACCCCCAGCCCTTCCCCGGCTTTGCCCACAGCTGCTAAACCACACGTGGGCCCTGGGCACCGGGCTCTTGTCACCGCACCTGCGGGACCAACCTTGCTCTCTGAGAACGTGGTCTGTGGTGGCAAATGGAGCGCAGCATCCTCAGGAGCCCAGGAAGCATGTGGGCAGGAGCTGGGACACCCAGGGTGGCCCTGGCTAGCTCTTTAGTGTTTCTGTCCTGCATGCAGCCCCCACACTGAGCCCTCTGAGCCTGATGCACTGAGGGGCACACAGCCCTCTGCCGACCCCATGCTGGGTACCAGCTCTGCAACACAGGCCTTGTTTGTGTTTAAATCTGAGGACCATGTGGGGCAGTTTTCTGTGATACTTGAGTGTCCAGGGTCACGCTTTGTGCTGGTGTGAAGGAGCAGTCCTGAGGGCTGGGTGGAGGGTTCAGGGAAGCCTTCCTGAGGGGCGTGGTGTGTTCATGCACACGGGGTGTTTTGTTTAATTGAGAGACTGTTTTAGAGCAGTTTTAGGTTTACAGGAAAAGGAGCGAGAGTTCAGGTCACTCCGGGGTGTTAGTTACAGCTGATGAGTCAGTGTGGACATTTCACGAACTAAGCCCCTGGCGTTTATGCAGTTTGCTCCCTGCAGGATGGCCCCACTGCCAGAATCTCCACGCTGCACCTCCTCGTCCCTGGGAACCCGTCCCTGCTTCGCTGGTCCCCCCCGCAGGGGGGTGGGCCGCGGGCATGACCATGGCCCCTGTTTCTGCTCCATGCCCCCCCACCCTGGACCCAGGCCTCTGCACTCTGAGGACCTTCCTGGTGTGGGGCACATTGAGGTTTTCTGAACTGGAAGTTGAAAGAACCTGGTGAGCACCTGGCTGCTCCTGGCCCGAGGGTCCCCTGACAGGCGCCCACTGTGTCCCCACAGCACTCGCGCGTGGACCCCGAGGAGCTCTTCACCAAGCTGGACCGCATCGGCAAGGGCTCCTTCGGGGAGGTGTTCAAGGGCATCGACAACCGCACCAAGGAGGTGGTGGCCATCAAGATCATCGACCTGGAGGAGGCGGAGGACGAGATCGAGGACATCCAGCAGGAGATCACCGTGCTCAGCCAGTGCGACAGCCCCTACATCACGCGCTACTTCGGCTCCTACCTGAAGGTGCGGGGCGGGCTGTGCTCTGGTGCTCAGGGCTCTCGGGGCTGAGCTCCGGCCCTGCACCTCCCCCATGCTGCGAGAGTGGGGAGGAGAAGCATGGTCTGAGGCGAGGGCCCCGGCCACTGAGCATGGACGCAGTGGAGCGGGCCCCTGAAACAACAGCCCCGAGGGCCAGGCAGGTGTGTGGGAGGCTCTGGTCTCATCCTGAGGGGGCCCCGGCAAGGCAGGGCATAAGCAGAGCCTGCAGGGTCTGAATTGGTGTTTGACCCACTGGCTGGACAGCCCCCGTGGGACGGCATTTGTGAGGCCCTGTGGGAGCACTCTGGGTCCCCTGCAGCAGAACCCAGTGCCAGCTCAGGGGGCCTGCCCAGGGCACATAGTGGGGGTGCATCGAGGCCGAGTGCTGGGGGGGCGGCTGTCTTCCCAGCCTGGCTTTGACGAGCTGCTGCAGAGTGGACGACGCTCGGTCTGTGCAGAGCTGCTGGGGCAGGAGTGTGGTGGGAGGGAGCGGGCAGGCTGCTGGAGCCCTCCCTGGGTGGGCTCCCCGGGGCCGGAGCCCTGCTGGGGAGTGTGTATCGTGGGGCCTCGGGCGCCCTGCTCGCTGCCACGTGCTGACAGGCGTTTCTGTGGCCAGAGCACGAAGCTGTGGATCATCATGGAGTACCTGGGCGGCGGCTCCGCACTGGACCTGGTGAGGCTCGGGCCACAGCAGTGGGCAGCTTGCAGGGCGGGGCCGGGCGGAGGAGGCTGTGGGCTGTCCCAGCTGGTCCCGGCCCCTGGGCTCCTCCACTGCCCTGGCGCCTCGTGTCAGGAGCTGGCGAAGCCCAGACAAAGTGCTACTTTAATAGCCTCGTGCTGCTGAAGGTCCTGGGCCTCTTCTGGCCCGGGGGGCAGGGGGTGAGCGTCCCCAGTCCACAGGCTTAGGAGTGTGGCTGGGACCCCGTGTTCATCTGTTACCTTTACAGCGAAGGTGAAGGTAGTGTATGTTGTCTAAAAACAGCCTCCTGACCTGCACCTGAAACTTCATTTCCAAAGTGGTTAATGGGGTAGGGTCACCCTCCGCTGGCGGAGAGGGGTTGAGCTCCGGCCTTGGTGAGGGTCTGGGGTGGTGTGGTAGGAAGGGTGGTCGGCCTCGGTGGAGGAGCCTGAGGCCCTGCGTCCGTCTGCAGCTGAAGCCAGGCCCCCTGGAGGAGACCTACATCGCCACCATCCTGCGGGAGATCCTGAAGGGCCTGGACTACCTGCACTCGGAGCGCAAGATCCACAGAGACATCAAAGGTCCCTCGGGCGCGGCCCCTGCCTGGGCCCCGGGCCCCGGGCCCCGTGACCCTAGAAAGGCAGGGCGTGAGGTGGCAGGTTGCTGTGGGCATGTGGCTGGTGCGGACATCTGGGGAGTGGGCACCCTGGTAGCACAGTGCCCACTGGCACCTGAGCACGGCCTGCAGACACAGCCAGTACCTGGTAGCCCTTTCTTAGCGCCACGTCCCCGCGCGGCAAGCACACTGCACTCCTAGCATGACAGCACCTGTTAGGCCAAGCGCCTGCTCTTTATGTCAGGTGCAGGTCTGCCCGCTGAGTGTCCCGGAAGGATGTGGCTGGGTGGACCCAGGGGAAGGGTCAGGGTCAAGGTCCCCTGCCTGTTGGGCAGTTTGGAAGAAAAGGGCAGCTGCTGTGTCTGGCAGGGCCCTGGAGCTCGGGCTGGGGGGCTGCACAGGGTGGGCCCCTGGCACTTGCTGAGAGCACAGGCCTGGCCCCATCTCCCTGCTAGAGGAGCAGACAAGCTGAGGCCCCAGGGACAGCCCTGCCGGTGCCCCGGAGGCAGGTGGCTGCCAGTAGGCGTCTCCACAGCTGCTCACGGGGGGTGGGGTCTGCGCACTCCGAGGGTGACGCTCTGCCCCCCTGTGTTGAGCAGCTGCCAACGTGCTGCTCTCGGAGCAGGGAGACGTGAAGCTGGCCGACTTCGGGGTGGCGGGGCAGCTCACGGACACGCAGATCAAGAGGAACACGTTTGTGGGCACCCCCTTCTGGATGGCCCCCGAAGTCATCAAGCAGTCAGCCTATGATTTCAAGGTGGGCCCGGCAGGTGTGAGGGTGGTTGGGCAGGGCTCGGTGCCCCTGGCGGCAAATGTCCTGTGTGGCTCTGTCCAGGCCGACATCTGGTCGCTGGGGATCACGGCCATCGAGCTGGCCAAGGGTGAGCCTCCGAACTCTGACCTCCACCCCATGCGCGTCCTGTTCCTGATCCCCAAGAACAGCCCGCCCACGCTGGAGGGCCACCACAGCAAGCCCTTCAAGGAGTTTGTGGAGGCCTGCCTCAACAAGGACCCCCGATTTGTAAGCTTTCCAGCCCTCGAGGGGCATCTGTGGTGGGGGTGGGAGGTGACAGGGCCGAGGCCCCACCTCGTCCAGGATCTGGGGAAGCTCCTAGAGGGTTTTGGCCTGGGATGGACAGCGTGGAGCCCTCCCCCGGAATCCTTCACCGGTCCTGCCAGAGAGCCCGGTGTCTGGCCCGTCCCCAGCCTTGCTACCTGGGGCCCGAGCTCCAGGAGTCGGAGGAGCTCAGCCAGCCTCCTCCCTGATCGTGCCCCCGCAGAGGCCCACCGCCAGAGAGCTGCTGAAGCACAAGTTCATCACGCGCTACACCAGGAAGACCTCCTTCCTGACGGAGCTCATCGACCGCTACAAGCGCTGGAAGTCCGAGGGGCACGGCGAGGAGTCCAGCTCCGAGGACTCCGACGTGTGGGTCTCTTGTCCCTCGGGGTGCTATGGGGGCCTGTGTGGTCACTTGGCTCCTGCAGCCTGGCAGGGCCTTTCCCAGCATTTAGGGCCATGAGGCTGCCTCAGAAAGTGGGGTGGGGGGTTGCTGAGAGGTGTGTGCCCAGGACCACCCCCCTGAATCCTGGCCCCGAGGGCCCTTCTGACTCTGCACTCTCCTCTGCAGTGATGGAGACGCTGAGGACGGAGAACAGGGCCCCATCTGGACGTTTCCCCCAACCATCCGGCCCAGCCCACACAGCAAGCTGCACAAGGGGGTGGCCCTGCACGGCCCCCAGAAGGTGCGTTCCCCAGGCCCAGCCCTGCAGTGCTGGGAGGGGGCTTGTGCTCCCCAGGCTGTGTCTTTTGAGGAGGCCCGGGGAGGTGGTGGGGAGCGCATCTGCCCTGCTCACCCGCCGTGGCCTTGCTGTTGCAGTCTGCGGAGCCCGTCAAGAGGCAGCCGCGGTCGCAGTGCCTGTCCACTCTGGTGCGGCCCGTCTTTGGAGAGGTGAGGGCTAGGCTGGGGGTGTTGTGGGGCAGGAGGCTGTAGCCCCCGGTACACAGCGTTCCCAGGTCCCTTAGCATTCACAGTGCTTTGACCGCGGGCCGGGCTTTGTACCAGCAGGAATAGGAGCAGCTGGGACAGATTGCCCTAATGTGGTGTGTTCAAGTTCCCTGGCCTGCCTGTCTCCTGTGGTCCCAGGATGGCTTTGAACTGCAGACACACAGGGTGACCAGAAGCATCTGGGAGGTCTACTTCTTGCTTCAGGGTGACTGTGTCTATGTCACCTGGTGATGGCAGTCGGTAGCACCCCAGGAGTATGATGCAGCTGGGAGCCCCCACACCCTGGACTAGGGCCAGCAATAAGACATGCAACCAGTTCCCACCCCAGAGTAACGGCAGCACCTGGAGTCCAGGGAAGGGGACGGTGCAGCAGAGCCTTCCCGAGGAAGGTGGGGCAGGGCCTGGTGGGGGTGGCAGGCGCTGAGGTCTGGCTGCCGTCTCCTAGGCAGCTGGGAGTATGTGTGTGTCGGAGGTGGTTGGGGGTGGGGGGACCTGTAGGCTGCTGCAGCCTCCACAGTGAGCCCCTGGGGAGCACCCAGGCTGGCAGGGCACCCCCTGGGAGTCCTGTTTGTGGGCTGGGCTGTCTGGCGGGGGGTGTGGCAGGGAGAGCCATGTTGACCTGTCTCACCTGTCCTGGCCAGGTCAGTGGTTCCCACAGCTCAGGGCAGCGTGGAGGCCGGGGGTCAGCTGCCGTCCCTCTAGCCTGCGGGTCACAGCAGGCACACTCTGGGAGTGGTTTCTGGTCTCTTCCCAAGTCTTCTGGGCCTGCCCCTGAGCTGTTCCCCTAGCTGGGTGGAAGCCCTGTGGGTAGCTGGGTCGCCAACGGACGGGGGCTGGCAGAGACCCCTCTTGAGAACCAAGACCTGAGACTCCAAGGTAGCACCTCCCTGTGGGTTGGCTGGATTCCTGACCAGAAGCCTCAGGTTCTTGGTGGGACCCAGCTGTCCTGGCTTTGCAGTGGAAGGACCGTGAGGGCCTCCAGTGAAGTCACAGGAGGGGCCGAGAGCCTGCAGCACAAGCCTGACCAGGCCCCTGGTGGTCTGTCCACAGCTCAAGGAGAAGCACAGGCAGAGCGGCGGGGGTGTGGGGGCCCTGGAGGAGCTGGAGAACGCCTTCAGCCTGGCCGAGGAGTCCTGCCCTGGCATCTCCGACAAGCTGATGGCCCATCTGGTGGAGCGGGTGCAGAGGTGAGGGGCTGGGGCGGGGCCAGGACGGGCTCAGAGTCACTCTGGAGGCCTCTTCCTTTTTGCTTTGTAGCTTCAGGGCTGGAGAGGGGAGGGTGGTGTTTCTTGCCATCACTGGGCTCAGTGGGCGGTGCCCCGTCCCCCTCACGGGCTGGCTGTGCTGCTGACCTCAGCCGGCCGCCTGGTGGCTCCCGGTGGGGCCTGCCCTGGAGCTGGGCCGTGACCGGGCCGGGCCCCTCCCCTAGGTTTTCACACAACAGAAACCACCTGCCGTCCACCCGCTGAAGCTGCTGCTTGTGCAGAGGGGAGAGAAGGGTCTTGTTTTGACCTCTGTACAGACCGCACCGACCTGCAACCCCTAGTGGGACGAGCCCCGCCCCCCGTGCCGAGGGCTGTCCTGCCTCTCCTTCCCGGCTGGGCTGAGGCGCCTGCAGCAGAGACTCAGGGAGAGCTGCGCAGCCCCTCGGGCTCCTGGAGAAGCAGCCCTGAACCACGGTGCAGGCTGCCGGCAGACGGCCTGCTCCACCTCCCAGGCCGCCCCCCTTGTGGTGCTGGGTCAGGTGCCGTGTCTTCTCGTAAGTACACGTGTCGGCCGGAACTTCTTGTTTCAGAACTGAACTCCCTTGCTGCCCCCTGTACTCCGAGGTTAAGGTGTTAGTTTTCATAGGACTTTGTGAGGCTCCTGCCACTTTCAATAAAGACCTGAACTGAAGATGTGCTGGTAGTGGGAGGAAACCCAGGCCAGGTTCTGACAACCCCATCTCCCCTTGGGGTGCCTCGTTCCTGGCTCGTCACAGCACACACTGACCTCGGAGGGAACAGGACCGAACAGAGGGCAGCAGGCATCCTGGGTGCAGAAAGATGCCCTTTATTCTCAGCCACACACACAAGCATGACAAAGGCATGTTCGTCAACTTACACTTGTTAAGAAACACTGAGTACTAATAAATTAGAGGCCCTCACCCTCCCAGGGCCACATGGATCTTCGGGTTCCACTTCTCCAGAGGTCTGTGGGGTGGGCACCAGAGTGGCTTCTGCTGGACTTTGTGCAGCTGTGACCTGAGGCCTGTGCACAGCTGCAGTGGGCGGGTGCGGGCCCCCAGTCCCTGCTCAGAGCCAGTGCTCAGCATGGCCCTGTTCTGGAAGAGAGGGCCCGTGAGCACCAGCTTGGTCAGCACCTGGCGCTGGGCTTGTGTGTCCACTTCCGTGTTCTCAGCTCCACAGCCAAGGGACTGCTCTGGGTCCTCAAGGACACTGCCCTCCCAGATGTCACTCAGGCCCACCCGCACTGCTGGTCCACTGCTGGGAAGGCGGGATGAGCAGTAGACGGCCTGTGCCGATGGGCTGACTGGCTCTGTCCTCATCCAGGCGGGATGGCTTCATGCCTCCTCCTGGGGGGACCCGGCCTTCCCAGGCGAGCTGCTGGCTCTCTCGATCACCTCCATCCACCTGGGGAAGGGGTCAGCCCGTCAGAATGCCCAGGACACTTGCTTGGGAAGCACGGCACTTTCTGGACATCTGACAATGGGCGTGTGCTCAAATATCTTTCCGAGAGTGACCCAAAATATGGAGTGAATGGGAAAAGACGAGGGCAGTGAAACCCGGGAAGCCGGGTGCAGTCCCTGCGTGGGATGAGATGGCCCGGCCTGGGCCCTGGCCTCCAGCCCCGCTGGGAGCAGGAGAACCAGGCCCAGGCCCAGCCCCGCTGGGAGCAGGAGCAGGAGAACCAGGCTGCCGGTGGCAGTTACCTCCCAAACGTGTACTTGCTCTCGGCCCGGAAGAAGTAGACATGGGATTTGAACTGCAGCTTGAAGACGTGCTCCTTGTGGATGCCGTCGGCCTCCCTGGGGGTGCTCACGCTGTAGCCCAGCAGGGGGAGGCTGGCCAGGGGGTAGTCGTCCTGGAAGGCGGAACAGCCTGGCTCCATGGGTGCTCCCCGGCCACCCCCCTCCCCTTCCGTGGCAGTGGGGTCAAATGGACCCCCAGGCTGAGCGACCCTGGGAGAGGGTCGGGAGATTCCGAGGTGAGACAGACAGAAGGGCACCGTGGGCGTGGCTCCCCAGACCCCAGTGAGCGCCCCTACCTGATGTGTCTTGTAGAAGAACAAGCAGAAATTGGTGAAGACCACCCAGAGCTTCTGCCAGCCATTACTGTTTTTGAACTTCCTTAGCAGATACCCTGAAAGCTGGTTCTAGAGACAAGTGGAAGTGCATGAGGACCCCGAGACCCCAGCCACCAGAGCAGCCACCCTCCTAGTTCCCTCCTGGAGTCTCCTCAGAGACCATGGGGGTTTCGTCTGAAAGGTTCTGTCACATGCTGGATGGGGGCAGGGATGTAGCCCCAGCCTGGGCATGGCATCGCTGGGTAGACTTGGGGCTGAGCTGCGATGGGAGCCCTGGCCCAGGGCAGAACACTGCACCCCGCCTTTCACCCTGCCTGCCCCTCGCCAGCACACCACTCTCCGTCGCCCTCCCCCTGGGGTGACACAGGTCCCGAGCACATCTGTGTACCGCCCCACACTCAGGCGAGCACCCACTGACGAGGGGACAGCACAGGTGGCTGGAATGTCCAGGCTGCTGCCCGAGCCCAGGGGACGCTCCTGTTCACGTGCACCTGTGTGTCGGGTCCACCTACAGCTGAGGGCTCCCAACGGTCTGCACCGGGCTCCACTCCCAGGGAGGGAGGCAGAGAAACAGCGACCCCTGGTGACAGGCCCTGTCCATGGCACGCAGGACACAGCCTCCTGGTTCTCCAAGCACACAGGCTGCACAAGTCCTGAGGGTGACTGTCGCCCCACAGCCCTGGCAAACCCTGGGCTGCTGTGCCCAAGGGGACTTTCCAAGCAAACTTCTTGCCCAAACGGAGAGATCAGGAGGCGGTTTGTCACGGCCGGGCCCAGCCCTGCCACCTGGGATCTCCAGGGTCCCCGACCCGCAGGCAGCACAGGCAGAGGTTCTGTGCCAGCCACACCTCGCACCTCAACAGCTGCGCTGTGGTCAGCTCTGGAGACGCTGGTGTTCCGGTACCAGCACACGTGCACTGTGGTGTTGGCCCGGTGCTGGTACGGCTCCTCGGAGGAGCCCTGGGCGCCACGGGCATCTTCTTCTGACTCCTGCTCCAGAGAGACCTCATCGGAGGGCCCTGGGGGAGAAGTGAGCCCTCTGCTGAGAACAGGACCACCTGGTGACCGGCCCTGGGAGCAGGGGGCTGTTCCTAGAGAGCAAGCCGGCAGGGGCTTCCCCCAGAAGAGCACACCCTTCTGGCTGCCCGGAATCTCCCTTGTGAAGAGCGTGTGGGCTTAGTGGGAGACTGTGCTCGCAGAAGCCAATTCCTGAAAAAGCTTCCTCGGGCAGGGGTCTCCAGGGCCCTGCCAGAACTCACCGCGGGGAGGAGGGCCCACTGCGCTGCTGGGCAGAGCCAGGGCCCCGTCGCCGCTGCCCTTGGCCGCTTCAATGGCGCCGTTCAGGTCTCGCATCCACTTCTCCTTCTCCCTCCGCGTGCTGGGGGGAGGGGGAGGCGAGGCTCAGAGCCAGCCTGTGGGGCCTGGACAATCTCAGGGACAGGTCAGAACACCTGTCTGGTGGGTCCAGAGGGCTTTCGGGACGTAGCTGGTGACCCAGCCTGTGCCCCTCTGGGGGTGCCAGGGGCAGGAGGAGGGAGGACAGCACTTCCATGTGGATTGGGGCTCTCTACGAGGTAGTTTGTTCCTGGATCATTTTTTCTGGTGAGGGCCAGACACCTGCCTGAGAGGAGAGACTAGCCTGGGACACCTGGCTCCTCCAGGGAGGGGCTGAGCACAACACATAGGCTGACGGCAGAGGCGGGCTGCCCCTCACCTCCGAGCTCAGCCCCTTTCCTTGGTGTTGGTCTGATGCGGACCAGGGGGAAGTGGCCGCTGGCTCCTGAGCTGTGCCCCCACCCCGTCAGGGGCACACTTCACTCCTACAAGCGTGGGGATGACACTCCTGCCACGCAGAGGGGCTCAGGTCACGGCAGGGAAGCCCCTGCTCCTGGACCCCGGGGCCCACCGGGGTGCAGACACGGAGGCTCTCACCTGGCCGCCACCACGACTGTTTTCTGAGCTGCGCAGATAGTGAAACTGTGTGGAACAGGCCACTCGCTCTCGCTTTCTTCGACCTGTGGGGGGAGCAGAGGCAGAGTCGGGCCGGGAGCAGGCTGGCTGGCACGGCTGGCTGCCGGAACGGTCTGTGCTGCCCAAGTCTAGCTGACTACAGGGCTACGGGGGTCCCCACGCCACGGCACCTGCCACCCAGCGGGGCGAGCCGTGGGTCAGGCGCCCACTACTCACCGGTGGGTCCAGCACTATTAGCTGAAAATCAAGCACAGGAAGAAATGTTGAGCATTTTCATAGAGAGGGGGTTGGACAACTCACTTTATAAACTTGGCACCAAAACCTGACAAAGTCAGATGGAAAGAAAAACCTATACAGAGTGATCTCAGCTATAAATAGCTAAAGGAGATAACTTCGAAATAACATACTACCTTGTCAAACCTAAAGCAGACAGGAGAGTGTCCTGGGGCCAACAGCTGTTCTAGGAATGCAAGATGCTGGACCCGGGGAGCTGATAACAGAAATCACCTTGTCAAAGCGTCACAGGGAGAACAATGCCCATTTCTCTAAATGCTGAAAACTTTGCTCAGGCCCAACATGTTACTTCTGATATCTCTTAAATAGAATCAGAAGGAAACTATGTTGACATGACAAAGGTGATCCTTCCCCACAGATCACCCCACAGCTCAGACCGCTCCCTGCGCAGGGCCTGCGGGATGCCAACCATGGAGCCTCACACTGGACAGAAATGATCTAAAGTTACACGAGCGACGGCCAGCAGCAGCAGGTGTCAAGGTGTTAGTGTCCCCCCACGTCAATATGTGATTTTACAGTTAACTGCCGAACGGCACGTCTGTCAACAACAGGCTGCATACACTGGTCCTACAAGATCGCAACCGGGCTGAAAAGTCCCCTCACCGCATGACGCCGCGGTCACAATGGCCCAGCACAACACGTTACATGTGGGCGGTGCTGGTACAAGCCCACCACCACCAGTCGTACGGAAGCACAGCAACTCAATTGTGTACGTATGTGATACTAACACATTTCTGTGTTGCTGGTTTACGTACTCGCTACACTCTCCGTCGCCGAGTGTCCGTTTGGACTGAACCAGCTCGTGTAAGACAGCAGCTGTGTTGCACTGCAGTAGCCGCGCGTATCACGTGTTTACGGCATCTCGATGTCATTTTCTCTTGTGCTTGGCTTCATCTTGTGTTGCCCTATAAGCTGGGTGCACCTCAGTGCACAGGGTTACACGGCCCACAACTGTGCAGCGATGCCCAGACCCTCGTGCTCACGCACCACCTGCGGACTTAGAGCAACCTGCCGTCCTGCAGTCTCCGCTCATGGTGAGTGCCCTAGTCAGGTGTACCGCTTTTTACCTTTTTTCCACTTTTATCTTTTATTATTATTATTTTTTAATCCTCTCCTGAGGACATTTTTCCATTTTTTGTTCAGATAGAGTGGGAGGGAGAGAGAGGAAGAGAGAGAGAGAGAGAAACATCGATGTGAAAGGGACACATCGAGTGGCTGCCACCCGCACGACCAACCAGGGCCGGGGACAAACTGCAACCGAGGTACATGCCCTTAGCGGGAACTGAACCCGGGTCTCTCGGGACCGCAGGCCGACACTCTAACCGCTGAGCCAAACCGGCCAGGGCCACTTTTATCTTTTATAATGTATTTTTTTTCAAATCCTCACCCAAGGACATTTTGCATTTATCCTCAGAGCGGGAGGGAGAGAGAGAAACATCGACGTGAAAGGGACACATCGAATGGTTGCCACCCACACAACCCCAACCGGGGCCGGGAACAAACTGCAACCGAGATACGTGCCCGTAGCAGGAACCGAACCCGGGTCTCTCTGGACCACGGGCCGATGCTCTAACCTCTGAGCCCAACAGGCCAGGGCCATACCGTATTTTTATGGCACCTCTCCTGTGCTTAGATGTACAAACAGCACTGTTACAGTGGCCCATGGTACTCAGCGCGGCCAGGTGCAGCACGGACTGCAGCCCGAGAGCAGGAGGCGGCACCACGGCGCCGGGTGTGCCGGGCGAGCCACCTGGGTCTGTGCAGGTGTGCGGACAGCCACACGATGTAGCACAGAATGGACGGTTCCCAAACACACATCCCGGCATTAAGTGGCACAAGACTGCAATGTAATCTCAGTGGGATCTCAATGGTGTTTCCGAAGGAATTTGTCCAAATGCATTCAGAAACCTACTGCAAGAATTAAATACTTGAGAGTAGCATTTTTAAAAAGTAGGACCAGTAAGGGATGGAAGCTGTTCCCCAGACAGTGACCGTCCCCCATAACACCATGAATCAGAAGAGTGTGGAGACGTGAAGACAGGCCCAGCAAGCCCGACCGTGAAAAGCAGGGCTTTCGTGTGGTCAAGGGGGCCTCAGATCAGCGAGAAGACGGAGGGTCCAGCGAACAACAGGGAAACTGCCGGTAGGGGCAGAGGATGTCGAGTCCCCGTCTAGTAACATCCAACGGAACATTTTAGGTAGGTTAACTGAATGGGAAAAATGAAACAGAAGTGTCCCAGGGAACATGGTGCCAACACTCTGGGCAAGGAAAGGCCTTCCTGAGCCCAGGCCGGGGACGAGCCCGGGAGGAGAAGACGGACAGATCTGACTCGTGAAAACGCCCACACTCACTCCCTCAACGGGAATCGCCTCATGCTGCTCCGGGGACAAGACGAACACGGCCCCTGTCAGGTGGACTTCAGTTCGCGAGCCGGACCCACACTGCAGGCAAAGGAAAGGGCTGCTGACTGGGAAAGCGTCTCTGACCCTGAAGGTGGCCGGCCTCCCTGAACGTCTCACCAGTGAGCACACAGCCAACAGACCCAAGTGCCTCCTGGCGTGTGCCCGGAGACGGCCGCCAGCCTCGCCAGGGCCCAGGGCTGCTCCACCCACCAAACAGAAAGGCATGGGAACCCCAGCCTCAGACGAGCTCAGTGGGCGGTGCCCCGATGCCCACGGAGCAGCAGCACACCCGCCGAGGGCACGCTGCGCCCACCAGGGCCTTCGGGGTCTGTGCAGAACGTGGGCAGGGTGGGCAGAGGCAGCCTGGCACCGCGGCTAATCCCGGGACGCCAGGTGCAGCCCGGATGTGCGGCGCAGGGTGTGTCAGGTAAGCAGGCGGCCCCGTCCCGCACCCCTGCGCCAGGTGGTGGGGCTCGGGGACGAAAGAGCAGCTGGGGGTGCGTCCCTACGCAAAGCCAGCGCAGGTCAGAACAGTGCGTAAAGCCCAGTTCCCTCAGCCCACACATGAAGCTAGACGGGCTGGATGTTGCCAGGGCTTATTGCTGGGTGGACACACGGACTGATTTTTGTTTTACATTTTCAGTTATTTTTTTTCTATCATGAAAGTGTCATTTTTGAAAGTATACTCTGAAACAGAGGGGTTTGTTTCCAATGATGACAGGTGAACTCTTTCAAACTGTCCCTCCTTGCTGAGAGCCAGAGCTGCCGAGGAGCTGGGAGGGCGGGAAGGCAAGGCACCCACACCCGTGAAGACAACAGGGTGCAGGCCGCTCTGAGCAGAGACATGGAGCCGCGGGCCATGCACCCAGCAGGGCCTGCCCAGACCCACCGCGGACACCTGGGCCGGAGGGGGGAGGGGCCTCAGGAGACCCATGGCACACCTTCGATTTTTAATCCTCACCTGAGGCTATTTTTCCATTTATCTTTAGACAGAGTGGAAGGGGGTAGGGGTAGAGAGAGAGAGAAACACTGACGTGAGAGACATCGATTGGTTAACTAGGGCTGGGGACGAACCGCAACTGAGGTACGTGCCCTTGGCTGGAAGGGAGCCTACGACGCTCTGGTCCGCGGGCCGACGCTCTAACCACTGAGCACACCGGCCAGGGCCCGTGGCACATCTTACGGCGAACCCTGAACGTGGTTCTTGTCTTCACTGTCTCCAAGCATGGCTTCTGGTGAGCACAGCCTTACACAGGCGACTGGACAGCTCACGGACATCTGTGGGGGGGTCTCTCCAGGACCTTCACACGCTGCCCTCGTCAGGCACAGAAAGCACTGACCACAAAGGCCAACAACTGGATCACATGAACATGAAGCTTGTCTGCTCATCAGAGACTTTACACGGTCCCCTGGCAGTGGTGACAGTATGAGACAGGACGTGCCAGGCAGGGGTGGGGGCAGGGCCTCCAGAGCAGTAGGGCCCTGGCAGCCCAGCCCCGCAGACAGAGTGGAGACGGGGCGAAGGGCAGACCAGAGGCCGCACCAGACTCATCGCAGGACTGAGCGCAGGACACGGAGGGAAGGAGCCAGGCGAGCTCACTGGGGGCTTCCTGATCGGTGGTGGTGTCTGTTTTTGTTTCTTGTTTTTTGAATAATCCTCACCAGGTGTTTTAGAGAGAGGAAGGGGTTGGGGAGAGAGGGTTATGTGGAGGGAGGGAGGGACAGGGAGGGAGATTCGATCCTGCAGCCTTCTGGCGTACAGGACGATGCTCTGACCGACTGAACAACCCGGAGAGGGCACGTTTGACTGTATTATGGGGTGTGTGTGTGTGTGTGTGTGTGTGAGAGAGAGAGAGAGAGAGAGAGAGAGAGAACTAATGAGGTAATGAGGCCAGGCAGGATCAAACTGTCAGTGTAAGAGAAAGAGATGCAAATCAAAGAAGTATAAACTCTGCTGTCTTAAAACTTGGTGGTTGGTTTTCTCTTTCAAAACTGGTGTCAGCTCCCACCCTTTCTGCGGCAGAGTGGCCCCGGCGCCTGCCTGGGGTCGTTCACTGCCTCTCCCACCAAAGGCTCCTGGGGCAGCAGGAGGAAAAGGTGAGTTAGAGGCTTGTCCAGCAGGTGCAGGCGGTGACCCTAGGACCGAGCCTGGAGGGGCCACAGCGGGGCTGTTTGAGCACCAAGAACAGTAACCACAACAAGCAGAAACAGACCAGCAGGCGCTTTTAAGGTAGCTGGCTGCTGAACCCCAAACACCCCAGCCGGTTCCCAGCACTCACCAGCATGCCACGCAGCGGGAGGAGGCCCCGGATCCGGAAGTGGCTGGTCCCCGAGACACCTCTGCTCGTGTACAGCAACATGTCTGAGAACTGAGATGAGCAGCTTTAGATAAATGCATTTAAAAACAGGGTTTTAATGTCATAACTGTCAGAACAATTTCAACTCCAAGGGCCCACAGGGTTATCGGATCCATTCAGCTTGCTGGAGTCACACAGTTATTCTGACCAGTACCCCGTGAACCAGCCACATCCTGGTCCGGTCACCCCTCAGACAGGAAGCCGAGGTCTGGGTCTACTAACTGGACATGAGGAAGGGGTGACGGCAGGAAGGCTGGTGGCGGCAGGGACTCGCCGGGACGGCTCAGCTCCCGGGATCGGAGCTATAGAGCAAGACCCCGGGAGCCGGCGGCTCGGCCGGAGTGGACATCCCTGCAGCCACGGGCATGGAACTATCTGCTGGCTTCGCGCATCCGCAGACAGGTGCCCAGAGCCAGGCTCAGGACGACGCTGGCCTGCGGTGTGTTCTGTGACCCTCACTGGGCTCGTCTGATTCTGAGGCTGCCCACCTGGCCCAAGTGCTGGCACAGCCTTTCCCAGAGCGGCTGCGTCCACCTACCAGAAAGAACATCCTCTGCTGCAGGCCCTTCCTGGTGAGCTTGTGAAGGCAGCCCTCACGGATGAACTCCTGGAAGACAGAGACGGGTCCCCTCTGTGCAGGCCAGGGCCCCGGCGGACGGCAGGCCGAGGCCAGGCCCAGGGTGTCACCATGTTCGCCCTCTGGCCCTCACGGGCCCCATCCAGCCCTTCAGTGGTGCCTCCTGCCCAGATCCCAAGGGCCCTCTGGGCCTCTACTGCCCTGCCTGCTCCTCGGGGTCACCTGGGTCCTGTCTGGGTGCCAGGTACCTCAGTCCCCAAACCATCTGCTGAGCACCGGAGCCTCATCGCGTGGCAGGCTGGCTACACGGAGGGCCATTGTGGAAAGTGAAGCGTACTACCCTTACTGAGGACAAGCTTCCGGAAGGTTCAGCCACAAAGATACAGGAGCTCACTTTGAGGAGAGCCGGGCAGGAGCAGCTCAGGACAGGAGTTAACTCAGGGGACCAGGAGCACTGGGTCACAGGGCAGCACGTAGAGACTGAACAACCATCACGGCAGCAAACGCCTGCACGGCACCTACACCGCGCCAGGCCCTGGCTGAGCAGACGACAGCCCAGCACCTCCATCTCAGCCTTGCTCCAGAGCCCACGGACCCTGCTCTATGAGGCTCCTCTTGTTTATCGGCCCCTTTAGGGACAGTCCCCTGAGGTCACCACCTCTGAGACACTGTGGCCCAGGAGAAACCGGAGCCCAGCCAGCAGCACCCACAGGCGAGGAGCCAGGAGCTGTCCTGGCCCTGGGAGCCCAGCTCCAGCGCAATCTCCTGGGCGTCTCAGTTCGATTCTTTGGGCTCAAATGTGGCCCCACATTCTCGGGACTTCTCACAAGGCCAGTGCAGACGCGTGATTTGCACACCCACTCCTCGTTACATGCATGTTTGTGTTGAGACAGGAAACATTCCCCTGCAACTCATAAAACACTTTTCTTACGTTGACAGTACTGAGTTCAAAGCAAAAGGCATTAGTGACAGAAAGCAAGCAGCCCCGTAGACACAGACACATGGGATCGAACTGAGAGTTCAGAAATAAACCCAAACAGTGCTGGGACAACTGGACATCCTGGCCCCTACCTCACACCTCACACAAAGATGAGCTCCAAACGGATCGAAGCTAAATGTAAGAGCTAAAACATACAACTTTCAGAAGAAACATGGGTAAAACTTCATGCCTCGGACTAGGCAGTGGTTTCTTAGCTATGACACCTAAAGCACACCAACCAAAGAAGAAACAGACAAACTGGACTTCATCAAAATAAAAAACTTCCATGTTGTAAGTGATAACATCAAGAAAGCGAGAAGACAGCCCACAAAATGAGAGAACGTATTTGTAAGTCACGTTCTGGTAAAGGGTCTGCTACTCACAATAGATAAACAATCTTACAGCTCAAAAGAAAAAGACAACCCAATGGGAAGGCAAGCAAAGGGTCTGAAAAGGTATTTTTCCAAAGAAGGCACAAATATGGCCAATAAATACACAACAAACGCAGGGAAATACAAACCAACTACAACTAGAAGCCATGACACACCATCTGACGGCTAGAACTGAAAAGCAGAAAATACGAAGAAACTGGGACCCTCATCCACTCTTGGTGGGAATGTAAAATGGTGTCACTGGAAAACTAGGGCAGCTCCTCAAAATGGTAAACATGGTATTACCCCTTGACCAGGAATTCTCCTACACCCAGAATTAAAAACACCTGTCCACACTGGACTTGAACACAAGTGTTCACAGCAGTGTTAATTACAATAGCCAGAAAGTAACAGCCATCAGATGTCCCTCAGCAGATGAAGGACAGACAGAAAATGGCGTGTCCAGAGAAGGGAGTACTATGCAGCCACAAAAAGGAATACAGCACTGACATGCTACAGCATGGACGGACCTGAAAACGTGGCGCTGATCGAGAGAAGCCAGGCACAAGGCCATGTACTTTAAGAGTCCATCTATACAGCGGTTCCCAAGCTTCCTGATGCCGCGACCCTTTAATTACAGTTCCTCATGTTGTGGTGACCCCCAACCATAAAATTATTTTCCTTGCTACTTCATAACTGTAATTTTGCTACTGTTATGTCTTAGGCGACCCCTGTGAAAGGGTCGTTTGACCCCCAAAGGGGTCGCGACCCACAGGTTGAGAACCGCTGATCTACAAGAAATGTCTGGAATAGGTAAATCCAGAGACAGAAAGTGGATTAGCAGCTGCCAGCCCAGGGAGGGGGATGGGGAGCAACTGCTACCAGATTTGGGGGATCTTTTTGGGAATCTGGTAGTGGCGATGGTTGCATAACCTTGTGAACACACTAAAAACCACTGAATTGCACGCTTTGAAAGGGTGAATGCGGTGGTCTGTGAATGATATCTCTACCCAAACAGTGAAGGAACCGGCTCAAACGCGTCCGCAGGCGCTCACCCTGCCTGGAGCAATGAGGTTCTCTACGCCGACCAGGTCCCGCTGCAGCTCCATCAGCTTCTGGAGGTTCTCTAGCCGCAGGAGGCTGTGCTGTAGCGTGGAGGTCACCTCCGTGATGACCCTAAGGGCGTCTGTGTGAAGAGACCCCTCAGGCAGGTGGGCTGGGGTGGCACAGATACCCCCCCACACCAGCACCATTTTGTGACAGAAACTGGCATTTTACTTTTTGTTTTTTATTATTATTTTTAATCAGTTTATTTTTGTTACAGATGTTCCCCCCCAGACACCCTCCTCCCTATCTTGCCCCCCCTCAGGCACTGTGTTCCATGTCCACTGGTTACGCATACATGCATATAAGTTCTTTGGTTTATCTCACCCAAGACCATAGTTCCATTGATTTTATCTATTTCTTTTTCTTTCTTTCTTTTTAGAGAGAGAGAAAGGGAGGGGGGATAGAAACATCGATGAGAGACAACATCGACTGGCTGCCTCCTGTATGCCCCCCACAACCTGGGCACGTGCCCTGACTGGGAATCGAACTGGTAACCTCTTGGTGCAGGGTTTAGGCTCAACCACTGAGCCACATTGGCCAGGCAGGACATGCTTCCATTGATTTTAGATGAGAGAGGAAGAGAGAGGGAGAGAGAGAAACATGGATGTGATCAGTTGCCTTCCATACGCACCCTGACCGGGGATCGAACCCACAACCTGGGTATGTGCCCTGATCAGTAATTGAACCAGAGACCTTTCGGTGTATAGGACAACACTCCAGCCAATTGAGCCACTGGGCAGGGCAAAACTGGCCATTTTAAAAAGCAGCTTTAATTCAAGGAAAATTCTCCTCAAACTCAACCCAGGGTTTTCAACGGCACAGCAAGTGCAGGCTCCTGCCTGGCCACAGCCCCTCGAGGCCCCAAGACCACAGGAAACATCCACCCTACCTAACTGCACCATCTCAGCTCTGGCTCCGTGAGTCTGTAAAGTGAGGTCTGTGACTCCTGGCTCCTTCCCTCTCCAGTGGTGGGGACGACACCTGCCCCAGAGCTTTAGGAGGATGAAGTCAGACAAGGACGCCCATGGGGAGATAGGAGCCCTGGTGATGCTACTGCAGGGGCGACAACTAGAGGTGGCTCTGTGCTGACCCTGAGCTCTGGCCCCTCTGGCCTCGCCATCCCTCAGGCCCCAGCTCAGCTCCAAGTGACACGCTGCTGGCAGAGACTTCGCTCTGCTTATTCACTGAGGCTGCCCGGACCCGTGTCTGCCCTGGGTGGTGCCCAGTGCCACCCTGCCTGTGGATACCGTGTGTGTACGGAGTGCAGGGCTGGAAGGTGTGGCTGCCTCATGGGCTCCACATTGCCCCTGGGCTGGCACTAGAGGCTGCGGAGGCTGGGGATACTCTTTGGACCTGAGGCAGGCTGCTGCACACAGTGCCGCTTGTGCCTGGTCTCCTGGAACCGGCGTGAGGTTGACAAACCATCAACACACACTCAGCCCGTGGCCAGCCCAGGCACAGCCCTGGGGAACCCTTACTGAATGAAGGATAAAAGTAAGATGTCAGGCCCGGCCGGTGTGGCTCACTGGCTGAGCGTTGACCATGCAGCAGGAGGTCACCGGTTCAATTCCCAGTCAGGGCACACGCCCAGGTTGTGGGTCTGATCCCCAGGGGAGGCATGCGAGAGGCGGCCATTCAATGTTCTCTCTCATTGATGTTTCTATCTCTCCTTCTCCCTTCCTCTCTCCCTAAAATCAATCAATAAAAAATATATTAAAAACAAAAAAGTGAGATGCCAGGCCAACTTCTCTAAGCTCCAACTTAAAGGTACTTTCTTTTGTCCAATAGGTTCAATGCAGCTTTCGAGAACACCGAAAGGGCTGATACACCTGCACCCCAAAAGGAGGGGCCTTTTCCTCAGCCCTGTGGGCGTGGGTCACATGGGAGGGCTCCAACTGCTGTCATCCCTGAGCACTCCGGAGACGGAAACAAGCTCACCCGTTGCAGGACCGGCGCCAAGTTGCTCGACAATCTATAAAGCACTTTCAGAAGTGCAGCCTCGTTTAGCTTTTGCATCAACCCATGAGATGGCTTTACCGGTGAGAAAGCTGAGTAGTGGGTGTGCCCGGCCTCTCCACTGGGCGTGACCTCCCCATGAGCTGGAGGGGGTCCTCTCCCCAGCACAGCCCCCCCAGGAGAAGGCTGACCGTGGGCAGGAGGGACAGCGTTGTGAACACGCTGCACTTTATCATTTCCCTGAAAATGCTTGGAAATAGTTTTGACAACTTTGTCTTTTCCTTTTTAGCAAACACAGAACACTTGCTTTTTTTTTTCTTTATCCTCATCCGAGGACATTTTTCCATCCTTTGTTCAGGTAGAGTGGGAGGGAGAGAGAGGAACAGAGAGAGAGAGAGAAACATCGATGTGAAAGGAACACATCGAGTGGCTGCCACCCGCACAACCGACCAGGGCCGGGGACAAACTGCAACCGAGGTACGCGCCCTTAGTGGGAACCGAACCCGGGTCTCTCAGGACCGCAGGCCGACACTCTAACCGCTGAGCCAAACCGGCCAGGGCAGAACACTTGCTTTTAGAATGAAGAGAGTTGCCAACACCATGTCCGTTTGGTTTCCGGTACATCAGGCAGGACCGATGCCCATTTGTGACTATGGGAGACCGGTGGGAAGGACGTGCTCAACTCTCACCTTTTACTTTTACTGACAGTGGTGGACGTACCTGTGGAACCTGATGGACAGTAACTTCCTGCAGTAAGTTTGTCCTACAACTAGAGGTGATCTTGTAAGTTAAAAAAAGCCAGGGGTCACTTCTTTGTTTCTTTAACAATTCCAAAGTCCATCTATGTCAGAACTTCTAACAGGACACCCTGGACTGAAAGTTTGAGTTTTGGGGTCAAGGCTTCCGGGACAGAAATGCCTCCATGTAGCAGGTCACTCTGGGGGCTCTGCCTTGGTCACAGCGCCCACTCCCTGTGACCCCTCCGGGACAGTCGGAGTCCTTCACTGTGCTGCCCTGGGATGGTGGTGCTGAAGGACAGTGCCGGCCAGCTCAGACCTGGGCCTGTTTGTCCCCATCAGCCCAAGGGGACAGGTGGGCAGTGGCCAGCCCTGCGTACTGCAGACTCGGCCCTTCTGGGGGAGCCCACGCCCTGCACCCTGCGCAGCTCCCCCCTCACAGCAGGGCGCCCGCTCACCTCGGCAGTCGGCATGGTCGCTGTGCCCCGGCGGGTAGTGCGCACACAACCGCCTCAGCAGCAGGCGGTAGCGCACCAGCCGCTGGATGGGCTTCAGCAAGAACGTGTTGAGAGGCAAGTAGCAGACTTTCTGGAGCTCGAACTCTTTGTACACCGCCTCCAGCTTCTTGCAGCGTTTGGTCGCCTTTTCCAGCTCTGTCAGGACCTCGTCATGCCTCTGGAAGCAGCCGGTGAACTGCTGTGGAGGCGCAGAAAGGGGCCCGTTAGGTGGGGAGACCTGGGGTGGGTGTCCGGTGGGTGAGGGCCTGTCTGGATGGCACCCCAGTGTGGACAGCACACACCAGCTGGACATCCCAGCGGGGGGAGCGAGAGGCCCAGGGTGTGCCCGCTGGGCTCTCCCCCTCCGCGGAGTCCCTCCTGCCCTGAGACCCACCCCACCCAGACCTCACGCCAGACAGGCAGCGGGGCTGTCCAAGCAGCACGACCACACTGGCTGCCAGACTCGAGTCTTTGAGGTGAGTGGACAGAGGCTTTGCCTCGTGAAGGACTGGGGCTGACGGGGCTGTAACCGCCTCAGGGACACAGCAAGTGAGCAGGGGACGTGAGGACCTGAGCCTGCCCTGCCCCAGCGCCTGGAGGGGCTGCTCTGGGCCTCACTCCAGCAGCGGTGGCTTCTCAGGGAGGGGTGCTTACTCCCGACATCGTGCGGCACAAGGGAGAGCACTCCCATGTGTGGGTTTGCAGTGTTTCTCGTCATGTTAGACTCAGCTGGTCCCTGCCTTCTAGAAGGTTTCTGACAGTAAACCAGCTTATTTTAACGAACATTACAGATGGCCTGTGTGGTATGATAGGCTCAATGAACAGGTTTATATATATTTTGATTTAAACATTTTGAAGTGCTTTAGGGACAGGTAACGCGTACTAATGAATCTGGTTCAGGAAACCCAAAAAGCCCTAGTCAGCGTGGTTTGGTGGTTGGAGCGTCGGCCCACATCCAGAACGGCTGCGGGTTCAATCTCAGGTCAAGGGCATGTACCGGAGCTGCAGGTTCGATCCTCAGCCCAGGTCAGGGTGTGTGTGGGAGGCAGTGGATGGATGTTTCTCTCCCTCTCTCCCTCCCTCCCTCCCTCCCTCTCTTCCAGTCTCTAAAATGCAATTGAAAAAAAAATCCTCAGATGAGGATTAACAAAAAACAAAAGCATGGAAGAGTCAGGGTAAAAGATGGGGCTCTGAGCAGATGGCGGTCTCAAGCAGGGCCATCTGCAAACAGAGTGACGACCCTGCCGGCCCCTCAGGTTTCGGGGGTGGTGTGGGGCCTGGAAGGACACGAGGTGTGGCTGGACTGGGGGGAAGTGGGCAGGTCTGGGAGAGGTGGGCAGGTGTGGGGGGAGGTAGCAGCCAGCCCAGGGACTGGCACAGAGCCGAGGCTTGGGAACCAGAGATGCCTGTGGCATGAGGCAGGCGGGAGGAGCTCCATTCTCAGGCGAGATGCTGCGAGCTGCCCGGACCCACGTGTGGGTGGGAAAGTAAGAGCCCTGAACAGCGAGAGCACAGCCCTTGGGTCCCAGCAGCTGCGACAGCGAGAACTGACATGAAGACGGCTCCTTCCCACACGCTGAGGAGCGGGCCACCTCGAGTCACTCCTTTCACATAGTCCTTGGAACGTTTTCTTCACGACACTAAAACCTCCAAGGAAGAAAGCTCAGGAGAGCAGAAACAAACCCTAACGCCACCTCGACAGCGTCTGTGCGGCCCACTCCACGCACACAACCACAGCTAGAGCAGAAACAAGGGCACATGGCTCCAAGAGGCACAGGTCCCTTTGGGAACCACGGCAGAGGTGGCCGGAGAGCCAACTGTTAGCACACACTGGTCCCTGATGCTGCTCTGAGAGGAGATGTGTCAAAGGGGAGCACGGCGCTGAGAGGAGTACTTGTGGGAGGAGAATTCTGCTCTGAGGAGGATGCTGCTCTGAGGGAGAAGTGTTCTGAGGGACAACTGTTCTGAGGGTGAAGTGCCCTGAGGGACAACTGTTCTGAGGGAGAAGTGTCCTGAGGGAGAAGTGTCCTGAGGGACAACTGTTCTAAGAGAGAAGTGTTCTGAGGGAAAAGTGTCCTGAGGGACAACTGTCCTGAGGGACAACTGTTCTGAGGGAGAAGTGTCCTGAGGGACAACTGTTCTGAGGGAGAAGTGTCCTGAGGGAGAAGTGTCCTGAGGGACAACTGTTCTGAGGGAGAAGTGTCCTGAGGGAGAAGTGTCCTGAGGGACAACTCTGAGGGAGAAGTGTCCTGAGGGACAACTGTCCTGAGGGTGAAGTGTCCTGAGGGACAACTGTTCTGAGGGAGAAGTGTCCTGAGGGAGAAGTCTCCTGAGGGACAACTGTTCTGAGGGTGAAGTGTTCTGAGGGAGAAGTCTCCTGAGGGACAACTGTCCTGAGGGTGAAGTGTCCTGAGGGACAACTGTTCTGAGGGAGAAGTGTCCTGAGGGAGAAGTGTCCTGAGGGAGAAGTGTCCTGAGGGAGAAGTGTCCTGAGGGAGAAGTGTCCTGAGGGAGAAGTGTTCTGAGGGAGAAGTGTCCCGAGGGAGAAGTGTTCTGAGGGAGAAGTGTTCTGAGGGAGAAGTGTCCTGAGGGAGAAGTGTCCTGAGGGAGAAGTGTCCTGAGGAACAACTGTTCTGAGGGAGAAGTGTCCTGAGGGAGAAGTGTCCTGAGGGACAACGGTCTGAGGGAGAAGTGTCCTGAGGGGAGAGTGTCCTGAGGGACAACTCTGAGGGAGAATGTCCTGAGGGACACTGTCCTGAGGGTGAGTGTCCTGAGGGACAACTTCTGAGGGAGAAGTGGCCTGAGGGAGAAGTGTCCTGAGGGACAACACTGAGGGAGAAGTGTCCTGAGGGACAACTGTCCTGAGGGTGAAGTGTCCTGAGGGACACTGTCTGAGGGGAGTTCTGAGGGAGTCTCCTGAGGGACAACTGTCCTGAAGGGTGAAGTGTCCCTGAGGGACAACTGTTCCTGAGGGGAGAAGTGTCCTGAGGGAGAAGTGTTCTGAGGGAGAAGTGTCCTGAGGGAGAAGTGTTCTGAGGGAGAAGTGTTCTGAGGGAGAAGTGTCCTGAGGGAGAAGTGTCCTGAGGGACAACTGTTCTGAGGGAGAAGTGTCCTGGGGAGAAGTGTCCTGAGTGACCACTGTTCTGAGGGAGAAGTGTCCTGAGGAGAGAAGTGTTCCTGAGGGGAAAGTGGTCCCTGAGGGGGGACCACTGGTTCGGAGGGAGAAGTGTCCTGAGGGAGAAGTGTCCTGAGGGACAACTGTCTGAGGGAGAAAGTTCCTGAGGGACAACTGTCCTAGGGACAACTGTTCTGAGGAGAAGTGTTCCTGAGGGAGAAGTGTCCTGAGGGACAACTGTTCTGAGGGAGAAGTGTCCTGAGGAGAAGTGTCCTGAGGGAAAGTGTCCTGAGGGACAACTGTGTCCTGAGGGAGAAGTGTCCTGAGGGAGAAGTGTCTGAGGGACAAACGGTTCTGAGGGAGAAGTGTCCTGAGGGAGAAGGGTCCGAGGGACAACTGTTCTGAGGGAGAAGTGTCCTGAGGGACAACTGTCCTGAGGGAGAAGTGTCCTGAGGGAGAAGTGTCCTGAGGGACAACTGTCCTGAGGGTGAAGTGTCCTGAGGGACAACTGTTCTGAGGGAGAAGTGTCCTGAGGGAGAAGTGTCCTGAGGGAGAAGTGTCCTGAGGGAGAAGTGTCCTGAGGGAGAAGTGTCCTGAGGGAGAAGTGTCCTGAGGGAGAAGTGTCCTGAGGGAGAAGTGTCCTGAGGGAGAAGTGTCCTGAGGGAGAAGTGTCCTGAGGGAGAAGTGTTCTGAGGGAGAAGTGTCCTGAGGGAGAAGTGTCCTGAGGGAGAAGTGTCCTGAGGGAGAAGTGTCCTGAGGGACAACTGTCCTGAGGGAGAAGTGTCCTGAGGGAGAACTGTCCTGAGGGACAACTGTTCTGAGGGAGAAGTGTCCTGAGGGAGAAGTGTCCTGAGGGAGAAGTGTTCTGAGGGAGAAGTGTCCTGAGGGAGAAGTGTCCTGAGGGAGAAGTGTCCTGAGGGAGAAGTGTCCTGAGGGACAACTGTTCTGAGGGAGAAGTGTCCTGAGGGAGAAGTGTCCTGAGGGAGAAGTGTCCTGAGGGAGAAGTGTCCTGAGGGAGAAGTGTCCTGAGGGAGAAGTGTCCTGAGGGACAACTGTCCTGAGGGAGAAGTGTCCTGAGGGAGAAGTGTCCTGAGGGAGAAGTGTCCTGAGGGAGAAGTGTCCTGAGGGACAACGTGTCCTGAGGGACAATGTCCTGAGGGAGAACTGTCCTAGGGAGAAGTGTCCTGAGGGACAAGTGTCCTGAGGGAGAAGTGTCCTGAGGGAGAAGTGTCCTGAGGGAGAAGTGTCCTGAGGGAGAAGTGTCCTGAGGGACAACTGTTCTGAGGGAGAAGTGTCCTGAGGGAGAAGTGTCCTGAGGGACAACTCTGAGGGAGAAGTGTCCTGAGGGACAACTGTTCTGAGGGAGAAGTGTCCTGAGGGAGAAGTGTCCTGAGGGAGAAGTGTCCTGAGGGAGAAGTGTCCTGAGGGAGAAGTGTCCTGAGGGACAACTGTTCTGAGGGTGAAGTGTCCTGAGGGAGAAGTGTCCTGGGACAATGTTCCTGAGGGAGAAGTGTCCTGAGGAGAACTGTCCTGAGGGACACTGTCCTGAGGGAGAAGTGTCCTGAGGGAGAAGTGTCCTGAGGGAAAAGTGTTCTGAGGGAGAATGTTCCTGAGGGAAACTGTCCTGAGGGAGAACTGTCCTGAGGGAGAAGTGTCCTGAGGGACAATGTTCTCAGGGAGAAGTGTCCTGAGGGAGAAGTGTCCTGAGGGAGAAGTGTCCTGAGGGACACTGTCCTGAGGAGAAGTGTCCTGAGGGAGAAGTGTCCTGAGGGCAACTGTTCTGAGGGAGAAGTGTCCTGAGGGAGAATTGTCCTGAGGGAGAAGTGTTCCTGAGGGAGAAGTGTCCTGAGGGAGAAGTGTCCTGAGGGAGAAGTGTCCTGAGGGACAACTGTCCTGAGGGAGAAGTGTCCTGAGGGAAGCTGTCCTGAGGGAGAAGTGTTCCTGAGGGAGAAGTGTCCTGAGGAGAAGTGTCCTGAGGGAGAAGTGTCCTGAGGAGAAGTGTCCTGAGGGAGAAGTGTCCTGAGGGAGAAGTGTCCTGAGGACAAGTGTCCTGAGGGAGAAGTGTCCTGAGGGACAAGTGTCTG